ACCCAAATCCAGCCCACATTCCGGCGGCACCTGTGGGAAGCTGCCTCAGGCCTGGCCAGTCCTGCGAGGCTCACCTACTCTGCTATTGGAGACTCTTTCTTGCACTTCCTACCCCCATCCAGTCCACCAAACCTATTATGTACCCCCTATATGCCTGCTGTGCCCTGGCAGAGTATTTACCCCCTTAGGAACGTGGCTGTGCCATTTCCTCCTGGCATGGGTAACTGTGAAAGTGTTAGGAATCCTCGGCAGGCAGAGGTGAGACTCGGAGAGGCTAGTAGTCCTCCATCCTCCCTAACTCCCCGACGTGCCTAGGGTCTTGGCTGTGTGGCTCCACAGTTGAGGTTGGACGCTTCCACATGTCCTGTGATGGCCAGAGCCTGGGGGAAGTGGGGACCCAAGCACAAGGAGGGGCTATGAGTCCCACAGGGAAAGGCAAGAAAATGGAGGCTGACCAGGGCCTGCTTCAGTGGCTCAGCTGGTGTGAAGCACACAGTGAGAGGGCTGCCCTGGTTCACCCAACCATATGCAGTGGGAAGCAAGAACCTTCTAGAAGGATCCCTTGCTTTATAAGAGCTGGATGCAAGTCGGGTCAAGTGTTTCTCGGTGAAACCCTTGGAGATCTGGAGGCTGGGGGCAGGGCACCCTTGGGCTCCCAGCAGAGAGATATCTGAATGTAGGGGTGTGTGTAAAGTCGTGCAGCTCAGAGGGCAGAGGCCGTTGTTCTCACCAGCAGCCTAGCACACAGCACAGCTGATAGGAGGATGGACATCCTATCCTGACTGGCCATGGTCCTGAGGAGGAGGCTGGGCCTGGTGACCTCTGTCCTTTGCCCCTGACCGGATGTACCCTCTGTGGGCAAACACACTGTAGGGAAGCAAGGCATTGATTTCCAGCCTGTTAACGTGGGCTTTCTTCATCCGTAAACAAGCAGTGCAGCCCTAGATAAGAGGGACGTCAGAGGGACAGGGAGGATTGTTGTCTGGTCAGGATGATGACATGGGAGGTGGAATAACCCCGGGAGCAAATGCACCTTCTGTGCCAAGGACCAGCCGGACACACTGCTCACCTCCCCTGGGTGTGTGTTCCAACAGCCTGCTGTTGTCTTGCAGCAGGGAGTGTGTGTAGGGGGTGGTCTTAGTGGTCCTCTCAATCTGGGCTTCCAGGCTTGCACCTGATTTGTGTGTGTGTGCACACTTATGGTGCACCTCCCCGTGGTGAGTGTGCCTCCTGGGGGTCTTGGCTAAGTTGTGGGGAGCACAGCACAATGCAGGAAGCAGGGCTGCTGGGGCCACACTGCCTGTTGATCCTGGGCTCCAGCTCTTTATGTGTGTCCTAGACCTCTCTAGATGTCAGCTCCTTCACCCTGCAGAGTGGTGTGAAAGGCCCCGGGCAGCAGCGTGGTGGCACATGGTAAGTGACTCTGGATACAGAGCCCAGGATGCAGAGCCCAGCTGTGTGGCACCCCCAGGGTTCCTGCTGCAGCCCCAATGTCAGCATTGCCTTGGCCCTGGCGGGGGGTTGAGAGTCTGTTGCAGGCGCCTGGCCTGGCTCCTGCCTCAGAGATCCCCATGCCACCACCTTTCTGACCCCCTGTGATTTCTGTGGCTGGAAGGGGAGTGCTGTGTTGGCCTGCAAGCTGAAAAAGCAGGAGGAGATGGGCCCTGGGCTCACCATGGTTAGGAATAGAGGTGGAAGCTGGAAGACTACAGAGCAGGAACTCCAGCAGTTATGGCGCCACCCACCCACCTGCCCCTAAGGCATGCAGAGGGGAAGGAAGTAACATTTACTGATCACTGTACTAGGTAGAGTATGAGTTAGACTACTATAACAAAGAAATCCCCAAACTTTGTGGCTTAAACAAGATAGCAGTTTATTTTCCTCTGCTTAGATGGTCTCGGAGGGAGCAGCCTGGGCTGGCACAGTGGACTGAGTGCAGGGCACTCAGCCTCTTTTGCTCTTGTTGCTCCTCCAATGCCCACCTTGGCTCCACAGGACTGGGTCAGCTGGGAGAAGCAGGCAAGGGGACGTGTTTCTGCCCTGCCCTCCTGGGATTTGTACACTCACTTCCACTCCCATCCTATTGGCCAGAACTCAGTAACTTGGCCTCATCTGCTGCCAGGGAGGCTGGAAAATGCAGTTGTCATCTGGGCAGCATGAGCACAGCTGAAATGTGGGGCACATGTTGCAGGAGAAGGCAAGGAGGTAGGAGCAGAGGGCAGCCAGGAGTTTCCATGGCAAGCTCATTGTTTTGCCCCAGCTGTGCCCACAGTGGGTCCTCTTTCCCATAAGCTGGCAGCATGGCTACGTCTGGTGGTGCCAGGTGAGTTCAGCTCTCCATGGCCTCGTCCACATTCTCAGAAAGGGCATCACTGATAAGTGTGGGATCAGCAGTCAGACTTCCGGGGCAGCAGATTATTAAGAAGGGAAACTCTGTGGGAACAGAGGAGCCAAGAGGCCCTGCGCAGGAGCCAAGATGCCTTGGTTGGGAAACCAAGGCTGCAAATGACACAATCTTGACTCCTGTGGACAGCAAACCCTTGCAATGCCATCACTGTCTGTTCCTGAATAGGGTCTAGAGTTTATGTGGGGCCATGGGAGCTTGGCAGGTGGAGAGGGGGCATAGGCAGAAAGCCTCAGGACCAGGGCTTCCAGGAAAATTGTCATTTTCCTTGTGCTGTATTGGTTCAGGCTATCCAAGGCGAACCTGCGAGGAATGAACATGTCAACCTGCACAGTGGAGACGTGAGGAGGGGATCTGAACCCACAGGAGAGGGCTGAGAGTGGGGGCCATGTCTGAGCAGGTCCCACTTCATTTGGTGATGAGCAGAGACGAAAATGCGACCAGTTCAAAAGATGCAGAATGAGGCAAAGAGAGCGGCATTCAAACACTCAAGGAAAGTGCACATCTCCATGTGCCCTGCGGGGCCGGGAGGGCACTAGAAACGCCCTGCTGTTTTCAATAAGGAAGAAATAGAGAGCCCAGGCTGTAGTGTGAGGGCACCAGGACCAGGTAAAAAGAGAGCTGGAAGGGATGGGGGGCGGGGGGAGCGGATTGCAAGAAAACAAAAGAGGCAGGGTGGAGGTAAAATCCACATGGGAGAACGTCAGGAGTGGGCATGAGGACAGGGAACTCCCCGCACTGCTGCAGAAGACAAATGATGACAGCTCAGGCGCTGGCTCGGCTCCGGTTCTGTGAGGTCCTGCTCTGTACCCCAAACAGCCGGACCCGTCAGGGACCGCAAAGGAGCCCCTCCTGGAGGTCTGGACCCGGAGATGAGTGACCAGTCCCCCACTGTCAGCCTCCCCCGGCCCTGCTGCCCCACTCTGCTCTCCAAGCCGTCCTGGCGCACGGACATATCCGCACCCAGCACTGATAGAGATCGCAGCCGGTCCCCAGGCTGTTCTCAGAACCCAGCCGGGACGTTCCCTGCTGTTTCCATCCTCTGGGTTCTGTGAATTTGACCTCAACCCTGAGCTGAGCCGACACTGAAAGACAGCAAGAGCAGTGTCTGCAGCAGGCGGCTCCAGCGCGAAAGTGAGGCGCAAGGCTACCACGGACCCAGCTGAGGGGAGCCAGGGAAGGGAGCAGGCAGCAGGTGCTGGGAGCTGGAAATGCCTGATGAGAAGAGTGAAAATACATTTCTGCAGAAATAGGTCTAAATCATTCCAAATGTGTTTAAAACCTAAATGCAAATGTCAAATATTGATAGAGAAAGAGAAGACATTTGCAATATGAAAGTTATAACACATTACTAGTCTGGCTGTAAATCCCCCATGATATGAACAGCCAGGGAAATTGTGTGTAGGATTGAAGCGTGGCTCTCAGGGTCTCCTCCTTCCCACAGAAGTCTTTGCATTATGCATGAAATGAAGAAATGACATCGATGCCATTTCTGTAGGGTTAATTGGTGAGTTGTTGAACAGCTACCCTCAGAGGGCTCTGTTTAAATGCACGAATGTCACCTTGACAGAGAAATGAAGAACACCTGTCTGTTTCCACAGCAAAGTGGCAGTGCTCTTCTCTCCCTGAATCCCTGGACAAGGCGTGAACACTCACACTGATGTGGCACTGCTGGGAGGACAGCTGGACCACTGCCCATCATAGGACACCCTGGTGCCACACAGGAGTCCTGGTTCCCACCTTGGGCTGGGTGGCAAAGGCCCCTCCCTGCCCTCTCCCGGCCTTCCCAAGCTGGTGGCCTTACCACAAATCTGGGCGCACAGCTGGGATTCCATCTACATCCTGGCAGAGGATGCCCTGCACAAAGCTGCCAAGGTGCAGTGGGCTCAGTCTTCCTGATACCTGAGTCTCTTTGCCAATCTCTCACACTGGCAAAATGCTTTCCAGATGGTCACGAGGAGCCGCAGCGGCCGGAGTGTACTCCACTGGGTATCCTACTCAACCCCTTCCCTGGTGTGAAAGAACCCATCACTCTGGCAGCCACTGTCTCTTCGGCCTTTCCTGGAGGGTTGTGGGGCTTCTCAGCCCCAGTGGCTGCACTTGGAAAGCCCCTATTTGATGTTTCAGTTTAAAGAATATGAATTATTTGAAATAATGAAATAATATGATTACATATTATGTTCTGTTGCAATTATATAATTTATAATATATCAACAATATATTGTACTTAAAGAGGGAGGGTGGGAGGAAGGAGAGGAGCAGAAAAGATAACTACTGGGCACTGAGCTTAATACCTGGGTGATGTAATAATATGTACAACCCCTGTGACACACATTTACCCATGTAACAAACCTTCACATGAACCTCTAAACCTAAAATCAAAAAATTTTTTAAATTATAATATATAAACAATGTAATATAACATGTATGTTAATATTTGATATATATGTTATATACTAGTATATAATATATAACATATAATATAGTATAGTGTAGTGTATTATACATATAATACATATAACAAAATAACATATATACTAATATAATAAAATAATAAATAACTAAATAATATATGTTATTATACCTATATGCATATAGTTACTTTATAGTACATATAGTTACTTTAAATAACACAACTAAATTATATACTGTTACTTACAATTTCAATAATAAAGCTGTATTATATGCAACATAGCTGAAAATTTTAACTGTATACAACCACCGCCTTCTCTGCAAGGCACCCAGGGACTTGCTTTTTGCACCTTCTCCCACCTTGAAAGCACCTCCATCCTCCTCCTGGAACTTCGAATCTGTTTAAACAAACAGAAGAATTTAGAGCCAGACTCCCCATAAGGGATGATAATAATAGTACCTTCCTCATAGGGTCATTGTGTGGACTAAATGAGTTAAAATATGCAACACACTTAGAATAGCATCTGGCAGAGAGCAGCAGCTGTAGTTGTCAGTGGTATTGTATTATTATCCATTGTTACTTGAGTATACCCTTAATATCCACCCTTCACCCCAGGAAACTTAATAAGACATTTCTTCTCAATGAATACAGCACTCTTCCCACTAGACATTTTATTAAATCAAATGCTTTCTGGCATCTGTGCCTAAACATCTTACTTGCAAATAGGTTTTTGGAGGGTGAACACATTGTGTTACAAAAGGGTTGCAGGGCTCAGTTGAAATCGCATCTTCTCAGTGTTCATTCACACGTCATTAAATACTCAACAGTGGGAAGAACTGAAAGCTGATGTGTTCAAGTCACTTCTAATTGCATATCAAGCAATAAACGAGATAAACCCAATCTGAAATTGTAGTGGTTTTACAAGGCCGTGCACATTTCCTGGGTTTGGTTTGTATTCCCAGACAGGAAGCTAATCACTGGAGTGCTCTGTTCAATACCAGACTCCTGGGACTTCTACCTAGGTCTCTGTCCTCTTATGCTGTCACTCCTAAGACCTCCACAGAGGGGCAGGCCCTGCATCCAGAAGAGAGGCTCATGATGGGGGCTGGTGACTCTCCAGTTTGTGACCAGGGAGTTGAGTGTGAGGGGCATCTTATGTGTCTGATGTTTTCCTTCCCCACTACCCTTCCTCTGTGCTGCCCTCAGACTCCTGAGGATAGGGGCAGATTGCATCCTCAAGTCCCATTCATGTCAGTTCACTTCCAGCTTCTGCTGCCTGGGTACCCATGAGGCACCTCCCTCCTCTGCTGCCCTTATGAGAGGGATTTTGGACAAATTTGTCATATCCAGAGAGATGTTTTCATTCTTCCAGAGACACTGGGACACAGACATTCTCAGGCTTCTGGAGACACTGGTTATTCATAACACAGAAGAGAAAAGATAGAGCTTTTCCTAACATCTTCCAACTGTGCACAGAAAATTCGCTCCAGGTAGGTCAAAGAAGCAACCATAAACACACAATGCTAAAAGTACAAGAAGTAATGAGACACAGGGAAGAGCACTGTATTCATCAAGAAGAAATGTCTTGTTAAGTATCTTAAGGCAAAGGGTGAATAGGACACACATATTCACAAATAGCAGCACGCACCCAGAACACACACAAAAACAAATACAACTTATTATTTGCAAAGTCCTTGCCAATGTAATATGACAAGAAAAAAAAAAAGAGTGACAAGGATAGGAAAGGAAGGGACAAGATGACCTTTACTGCATATGATGTTATTATCTGTCTGGAAGGGCAGAAAATGATTAACTGAAAATCTGCCAGAATTAATAAAACTGTTCAATCAATGACCAGACACAAGATAAACCTATGGAAATAGATGGACTGATTGCATGTCAATGTATCAGTCAGCAATTGCTGCATAATTGACAGCCCATCTCAAAGCTCAGTGCTCTGAAACAGTCCTGATTTAGTACTAGAGCTGTGATCCTGTGGGTTGGTTGGGAGTCTGCTGACCTCGGTTAATCTTGCTCCTGTGTTTGTGGGGGGTTCTGGTGTGACTCAGGCTGGGCTGGCTGGGGCTCTGCTCCATGTTGCTCACCTTTCTCCTGGGGACAGCAGGCCAGCTGGGGTATAGTCTATGGCTGCAAGACAGCAAGGCCCACCTTGCAAGCTCATTTCAGACCTTGGCTTGCATCCTGTCTGATCTGACCCACTGGGCAGAACAAATCACATGGCCAAGCCCAGTAAGAACATACAGCAGAAGGTATGGGTGAATGAGGGGCCATCACTGAGGGCACTAATACAATCAAAATCAACTAAAAACTGCAACAGTAAGTAGCGTTCATGACTTTTATGACAGCAAGAAAAATCACAAGCAACATGGCAGGAAATTGGTAAAAAAAAAAAAAAAAAAAGTGTAATCATATGGTGAAACTTTAATGGAAAACATAAAGAAGACCAACTGGAGTTGCTTACCATTTTTTTTTTTTTCTGTATGGGGAGACTCAGTATTGTAAAGATTCCAGTTTCTGTCATATTGATCTATAGTTCATTGCAATTCCAGTACAAATCTGAAGAGGATTTTAACAAATGGAACTTGATTCTAAAATTTATCTGGAGGAGAAAATGTATAAGATGCAACCCAATATGACAAGACGATGGTGGTAGAGGTGGGGAGATTGCCTGACAAATTGCTGAAAAATCCTATAGAGATTTAAATTGTTTGGTTTTATTTTACTATTTAATTTATTTTATTAATTCTATTTGAGACAGGGTCTTGCTCTGTTGCCCAGGCTGGAGTGCAGAGATGTGATCATAGCTCACTGCAGCTTCAAACTCCCAGGCTCAAATGATTCCCCATACCTCAGCTTCCTGAGTAGCTGGGACTACAGGCACACACCACCACACCCAGCTGAGGTTAAACACTTTTTTAATGTGGTGTTATAATAGACAAAGGCAAAGAAGACATGAGGCAACATACAGATTCTAGAAAAGAACTCAAGTACATATGGCAATTTAATATGTTATCAATACAAGGTTACTTATATGATAAGAGAGGAAAGACAGAGCTTCTCCTCACACCATACACAGAAAATCCACTCCAAGTGGGTAAAAGAGCCAACCACAAACACACAATTATAAAGGCACAAGAAATTACAAGATGCAGGTGCCATTATGGAAAAGATAGACATGCTTGATACTACCATTTAAACTCCTGCTTAAGAACAGATGCCCTGTGAGTGAAATTAGAAGATAAATACAAGACATGGATAGAAATATATGAGTCATCAACCCAAATATATCTGGAATGCACAAAACTCTTCTACAAATTAGTGAGTAAAATGTAAAAATCCCAATAGAAAAATGGGCAATAGATATAAACTAGTAACTTACAGAAAAAGACATGCAAATGGCAAGTGGGTACATGAGAAGATATCTAACTTTGTAAATATGCAGAAAAACGAAATAAAAAACAATATATCCTGTGGAGGCTGACTACATTGCAAAAATGTAAAAGATTATATCCAAGTGTGGGGGAAAGAGTTACTCTCTTTACTGTTGATTGTAGTACAATTATTTTTGGAGGATAATTTGGCAAACTTCATGAAAACTTAATCATTCTTTTGGCCATAATTAAAAAATCAAAAAACAATAGATGTTGACTTGAATGTGGTGAACAGGGAACACTTTTACCCTGCTGGTGGGAATGTAAACTAGTACAGTCACTATGGAAAACAGCGTGGAGATTCCTTAAAGAACTAAAAGTGGAACTACCATTTGATCCAGCAATCCCACTACTAGGTATCTACCCAGAGGAACAGAAGTCATTATTTGAAAAAGATACTGGCACACATATGTTTATAGCAGCACAATTCACAATTGCAAATTGTAGAACCAGCCCAAAAGCCCATCAATCAACGAGTGGAAAAAGAAACTGTGGTATACATACACACACACACACACACACACACACACACACACATATATATATCTCTCAGCTATAAAAAGGAATGAATTAACAGCATTTGCAGTGACCTAAATGAGATTGGAGACTATTATTCTAAGTGAAGTTAACTCAGGAATGGAAAACCAAACATCGTATGTTTCTCACTGATATGTGGGAGCTAAGCTATGAGGATACAAAGGCATAAGAATGATACGATGAACTTTGGCGACTTGGGGGGAAAAGTGGGAGGGGGACAAGGGATAAAAGATTACAGATATGGTGCAGGGTATACTGCTTGGATGATGGGTGCACCAGGATCACAAATCACCACTAAAGAACTTACACATGTAACCAAATACCACCTGTACCCCAACAACTTACGGAAAAAAACTGCAATCTTTCTTTGACCTAGCAAACCCATCATATTAAAAATCCACATATAAAGGTATATATACAAGTCTGTTCTTTTAGCATTATGACAGCAAAGATTTGTGAACAATCTAAACATTTACTAATGAAGAATCGAGTAGATACATTACAGTACCCAGAAACTAGCTCTTTCATTTGGCAATGAAATGGTCAAGGCTGCACAAAATTTACATTATGTAAACATGACATGCAGGCTTCAGTTTCTGAAATCATCCTATGTGTGAAGTCTGGAATGCAGGTGTCAGCATCCTTGACAACAGTGCCCCAAGCAGCAGGAGCCACAGGAGATGGGGAGGCTGGGGGAAGACCGCAGACCTCAACAGCAGGGCGGGTCAAAATTCTAGGTGTCTTCTGCTTTGTCCTGAAAATACACCTGGAGTCCAACCCTGCTCCTCACCCACTGTGGCCCACAGCGCCCATGATCTCTTGCCTGGACTACTGCAGAATCATCCACAGACACCCTAGCCTGCCCTCACCCCTTCCAGCTGCCCAAAGTACAGCAGCCGGAAGGGCCCAGTTAAAGTCGGTCTGATCGCTTCCTGCCTCTGCTCAGGAGCTTCCTGTGGGCTCCCTGTTTCCCTCGGAGGAAAAGCAAAGACCTCTATGAGGTCCCACAGGACTCTGCTCCTCACTTCCCGCCCAGACCTCACTGCCTGCTACACTTCTCACTCAGCTCCAGCCCCATTCCATCCCAGAAGTGTCAAGGGCACAAAAGACAAAGAAAGACTAAGGAGCTGTTGCAGAGTGGAGGAGACCACACGATGTGACCACAGAACACAGAGAAGAATCCTGAACGATGTCCTAGGACCAGCAAGGGACCTCGGTGGGAAAACTGGAGAAAGCTCATTCAAGCCTGGAATTAAGCCAGCAGTCCTGCACCATCTTCATTTCCTAGTCTTGATGAATGCACCCTGACTATGGGATGGCTGGGGAGGGATATTCAGGACTGGTCTGCACTATCTGCAATGCTTGTAAATCTAAAATTTGAAAATTAAAAATTTATTTATTAATTATAATTAAATCAACTACAGGTTATTCAGTTAATATTAATTGATTTAATTAAAATTACTAAAATAATTTAAAATTAAACTCTAATTAATAATTACTTGATTTAAACTAATAATTTAACTTTTTTGAGGTAAATATAACAACAATTAAAACCAAACAAAAGTTACACCTGCCAGCACTCCTCAGCTCTCTCCCCGGCTTTGCTTCTCTCCCCAGCCCTTCCTGCCTCCCAGGCACAGCTTAACGCACAGATTCATTCAGGGTATGCAATCTGTCTTTCTGCACTCCGATGTGCTCCATGAGGGCAGGTTCTGTCTGTTTTACAAACAGTGCTGTAAACCCAGCACCTACAACCTGTATCATCATATTAATCTATACATTCTAGTTTCTGGACACCACAATTTGTTTATCCAATTCTCCTTCAATATATTTTTGTTCTCAAACATTTGCTGTTATAAATAATGCCATAAAGAACAGACTTGTACACATATCATATGTGTACACAAACATATGAATGTTTAACAGTAGGCTTGCAGGGTCAAAGAACAGGCATAATTTAAATTTTCATAAATTTTGCCAAGTTATCCTCCAAAAAGCAATTGTGCTGAGAATATCATTTATTCATTTATCCTATGTATTGCCTGTCTTTCCCCACTGGAATATAGGCTTTGGGAAAATAAGGCGTTGCCTGGCTTGATCAGTTCTGCAAACCTAGCTCCCAGAACAAATATTTGTCAAGCAATTGGCATGGGCAGGCAAGAGCTACACTGAAATTGTTGGGATAAGATACAGACGTTTAAACCTATGATTTGAAGTTATGAAGGTACTGTGATGGACCTTCACAATTGAGTGGCTCCTCGAAGCTGTCCACATATGAATTCCCAGAACCTGGGAAGGTGTTACTTTACAGGGAAGCAGGGACTTCCTTCTTGGATGTGATGAAGTTAAGGGTCTGGAGATGGGGAGAGGATCCTGGGTTATCTGGTGGATCCAGCGTAATCCCGAGGGTCCTTATGCGAGGGGCAGTAGGAGGAACAAGGACCAAGGAAGAGGTCAGAGAGAGACCGGAGGATGCCGAACTGTGGTTCTGAGGATGGAAGAGGGGACAAGGAGCTGGGGAATGCAGGTCGCCTCTGGAAGCTGGAGAAGCACAGGAGATGGAGTTTCCCTTAGATGCTCTAGGAGGAACCAGCGCCACTGATGGCACCTTGATTCTGGGACCTCTGATTTCCAGAACTGTAAGAAAATAACTAGGTGTGGTTTTAAGCTCCCAAGTTTGTGGTCATTGTTACAGCTGCAGCAGGAAATTAATCCAGGTAGAAGAATTAAAACAAACATGTAAATCGCACGCACAGAGGTGGGCAGGAGACGGAAGAACGCCAAGTCCCCGAAGCCTCAGCTTTTGTAACTGGAAAGCAAGAGATACAGTCTAAAATCGGTGACCAGGCACACAAGTTCTTTCACATTTCAGCTACAGTGATGGACAGAATGCAAGGATGAAAATCAAAACAGCTCCAAGCAGCTGCCCGAACCTGGAGGCAGAGGGGCTGTCACTTGCCTGCATTTGCTCTTCGGTGCAGATGAATTTGTCATCATGTGTGCATCTGACTTCCATAAAACACTATGTTAAAACCTGCCTGGGTGCTCTGGCGAGGTGCAAGGACCGCCTGCAGTAGTGCCACCTCGGAGCCCACACATGGCACACCCAGGGTCCAGCAACCCACAACTGCTCACCCAGACATCCAGCAGGGACACCCAGCAATTGCAGGAATAGGATGTCCAGTCAAAGAAGGAAGGCACCAAGTCTGTGGCCCGACTGTGGACTGTGGACACGTCCGCTAGTGGACACTGCACCCCCACCATCCCACCATGCACAGGCGGCTTCCAGGGTTCTGTCCACCTTCACAGAGGTCATGAGGGGCATGGGGCAGTGAATGGCCACCGACCTGGCTGCTGGCGCTCAGGAATGCATGCGTGTGTGGTCCCTATACCTCTTGTAGCACTGCTGCTGATGGAACCAGGCACTCAGTGGTGCTAGGCAAAGCTCTGCCCAGAGCAGGAGGCCACAGCCTTTGCAGGGGCTCAGCCCCACCTCCTCCCCACAGCAGGCGTGGCAACTAGAGCATGATTCTGGCCCTGGGGCCTCAGTTTCCTCATTTGTCAATGGCATATTTGACAAGGGCTCTTACCCATTGAAGCTTTAGGATTCTGAGAGTTCAGGGGCGATTCTTCCTCTGTGGCCCTGGCCCGTTGCTGGGAATGGGCGTGGAGGGTCTCGGTTCTGCCGTCTCCAGGGTTGAGAGCGCTCTGCTGAAGACATCACACTGGAGATCACATGTGTAGTGCACATGGTACACCTGTGCAAGTGTAGCCAGATGTGAAGACAGAGACAGAGCCTGGGCCACCAGCTGATACCCTTCCTGTCTGTGTCACCTGGGTGGGTCAAGTCCCCCCCAGCCCCAGCTTCCTCACCTTCCTCGCTATGAAGCTCACCATGCCCTCCTGCCACCTCTCCGGGACTGAGGATCAAATGGAGGAATTCCAGAGGGTCCTGACCTTGTAGCTGAGGGTGTGATGAAGCCAGGGAAGCTCAGGGCCACCCTTCCCCTGCTAAATCAGGCAGCTGGCTAGAGGCAGCCTGAAGTGTAGTTTGATCAGCATCCTAGATTTTACTAGTGATACTCCTGCTCTGAACTCTGCTTCCAGCTGAGTTGGGAAAGGCCAAGCAAAGTGGCCCCAGAAGGCAGCTCTGGCTTCCCCCAAGACTGCTGAGAGAGAGGGGCCCAGCATCCACAGGGCAGTTTGGGAACTCCAGGGGACCTCTCCTTAGGCTACTGCTGGAGGGTTCTCATACAATGCTGCACGCATGTGTCTGCAATACCAGTGTGCTCATGTGTGCATCTATATGTGCAATACTTGTATGCTTGTGTAGCCAGGTGAACTCAAACATGTGTGCACAGGAAAGCACTCTCATCTCTGTATGTGTGTATGTGTGTGCCTTCCGGGCTGTACTGCGTGTGCATTTATACAGATACACATGAGTTTGCACAGGCGCTTGTGCGGGTGCACTGGCATTCACATACATGTACATGACAAGCATATGACAGCCTTGCTGTCAATTTCATTTTGTGGTTACATTTTGTTTGACTGGCATGTTGTGTTAAAAGAGTCAGACCTGGCATTTAAAGCCAGAAGATTTTACAAATCCACATGTTCAGCTTTTTTTGAAAAACTGCGGCCCTGTTCCTGCAGGGCAGCACCAATCATAGCAGATATGTTCACCCTGTCCTGCCCCCCTAAAGTGGTCACGTGACCTCCAGTTTGTCAGAGTCCACAGCACTCCCTATCACCTCACACTTTACCTGCTTCACCCATTTATATTACCTCCTTGACCCCTCTAGCAAGGTGCAATCCTTGGATAAAGCCCAACAATTTAGTAGTATGCTTAAGCCTTATGCTAAACAGTCTACACTGTTTCCCTGCTCCAGCCTGGCCAGCTTCCCTACCCACCACCTCCACTCATCTTGAACCACTTTGCCTGCCAGATCATTCTGTGCCTCCCCAGGCTTCTCCTGATCCGTGTCCCTGGTCTGCTGTCGCTCCTCACTCCCTCTCATATGGAGTCCTACTCTTCCTCCAGTTCCCCCTCCCCTGCACTCTACTCCAAGCCAGTGGGCTTCACTGTTGATCATGCCTCTGGCAGGCCATGGGAAAAGATTATTCTCTTGTAAGCTGGGAGAAGAAATGCTCCCAAGGACAGAAATATCTTTGGAAAAAAGTCTTGATATGCCTGTAGTGTAAAAGGTGAGGGTTTAATTGTGATCAGATAAATCACTAAAAACACAACGATATAACTCTTAAAATGCAACAATAAGAAAATGAACACCTTGATTCAAAAATGGTCAAAAGACCTGAACATTTTGCCAAAGAAGATTTAGAGATGGCAAATACGTGTATGAAAAGATCCTCAACATCATATGTTATCTGGGAAAATAGCAATGAGCTACCACCACAAGTCTGTTAGAATAGCCAAACCCAAAACACTGACAATATCAAATGCTGGCGATGATGTGGAGCAACTCTCAGTCATTGCTGGTGGGAAGGTCAAATGGCACAGCCACCTTGGAAGACAACTCGTCAATTTCTTACAAAACTAAACATACTCTTATATGATCCAGCAATTTTGCTACTTGGCATTTACCCAAATGAATTGAAAACTTATGTCCACACAAAAGACTGCATGCAGATATTGATAGCATCTTTACTCATGATGCCAAAACTTGGAAGCAACCAACATGTGCTTCAGTAGGTGAATGAATAAACTGTGGTGCATCCAGACGATGGAATATCATTGAGCACTAAAAAGAAATGAGCTATCAAGCATGAAAAGACATGGAGGAAATTTAAACGCTTGTTACTAAGTGAATCTGAAAAGACTACATACTGGATGATTCCAATTCTGTGACAATCTGGAAAAAGCAAAACTATGGAGACAGGAAACAGATCAGTGGTTTCCAGGGGTTATGGGAGAGGGAGGGATGAACAGGCAGAACACAGGATTTTTAGGGCAGTGATGCTATTCTGTGTCATACTACAAAGGTGGATACATCTGTCAAAACCCACAGAATGTACACTACTAGGAGTGAACCCTAGTTTAAACTGTGGACTCCAGGTGATAATGATATCAGTGTCTGTTCATCAGCTAAAACAGGCACCACTCTGATGGAAAATCTCTACTTTCTACTTGATTTTGCTGTGAACCTAAAACTGCTCAAAAAATAAAGTCTACTAAATTAAAAATTAAGTAAGTACAGCCATGTCTTAAAAGAGAGTTAAGTTCTAAAACCAACTCAGAAGGTGAAATCCCAGTTAACTAAAATTACTTTTGAAGATTTTCTTAAATCATCCCTAGAGCACAGTATGCCACATGTTGGCCAACACTGACGTTTTATCCCTCTGCACGTCCGTCACAGATATATTGCCCTCCCCCTTAGGTCAGATGAGTAGTTGACCTGCATTCAGAGGCAGCTAACTTTGTATCACAAATACCTACCCATCAACACTAGGATCAACGTAAAGGAAGCTAGAAACTCCTGCTGCCATAACAGGAGTCAAGAAATGAAGTAGCAAATTTTAATCTCCTACCCTCAGGCTAATCCCTGCGCATACAGAAGGGAGTGAGGGGAAGAATTATCCCACACAATTTAATACATATTTTCCTCCCTCATATTTTGGAAATTACTATAGTTCAACTCATGTAGATTAAAGGTATGTATGAGGTGAGTCCTCAGAGTGAGGTTGTCACAAAGTTGCATAGCATGAAAACATGGGAGGAGTTGGGGGGAAAGGACCAAGTGCAAGAAGAGACTGGGCAGGAAAGAGCAGCTAGGTGGAGGCGTCCAGGGAGAGGAGCTGTTTTCCCATGGGTCCAAGTTGGTGTCGTATAGAACAGAGAGAGCCAGCCTGGAATCAGGAGCTCAGAGAACAAGGTGACCAGAAAGATATTATTGTTAGCAGCAGAATGTATCTGAGTCACCAACGTATGTTAGTGGCAGCAAATCTGTACGGGTTTGCAGCAACCCCAGTTCTTGCCTCCTCGGAAGAATCTGACCGAGGGACAGAAGACAGAGTGAGAGACACCCAGGCAAGTTTTCAAGCAGGAGTGAGAGTTTATTAAGAAAGTTTTAGAGCAGGAATGAAAGGAGGTAAAGTACACTTGGAAGAGGGCCAAGTGGGTGACTTGAGAGATCAAATATGTGGTTTGACCATTGACTTGAAATTTATACGTTGGCAGGCTTGCAGAGGGTTGTGTCTCTTCTCCCCCGATTCTTCCCTTGGGGTGGGCTGTCTGCATGCACAGTGACCTGCCCGCACTCAGGAGTGAGCAATGTGTTTACTGAAACTGTGCGCATGCTCACTTGAGGCATTCTTCCCTTTCCAGTCACATCTCCCTAGAAGGTCATAAAGCAGCTCAACTCTGCCATTTTGCCTCTTAGTGTGTATGCTTGAGCCCATTCACCCAGCTCCTGAGATCTTATCCCAAAGCTGCTGATCACCAGTTTCAGGTTCTTTCTATCTATTGGGAGACTGCCTTTCCCTGGTGCTGGCTGCAACCAATTATTGTTTTAGAAAGACAGTGTAACAACCACCTGATAATCACCTGATGGTGGCCTGACATTCTGGGGTGTGAGGCCCTCTCCTGACCTGCTCATGTCTGACTAGCTACCTATTGCTTCTTGGGAAATGTATAGACATCTTTGGAGGGACACGAACACCACAAGGCATAGACGGAGGGATGTAGAAGCAATGCTGCCCAACCCCCAGGGCACAGGCAGGCCCTGTTCCCCCTCCCTTATATTTGGGGCTTGTGGAGCTACTTGCAGTGTTTGATTTAATGGGTTTGCTGCTACCCAGAGAAGGAGAATGGATGGAACCCAGAAGATTCACAGGGGGGCTCCCGGGACTTCCACCTCTGGTAAAATACACCTCCATTGTCCTCAAGGTCAAAGTGACCTGGCCTGCTTAGCTTGCAAATGTCTCCATCTCCTGAATGTTTCTGTGGCTTCCAGGAGCACGTGTTCTCAGGCCATCCTGAGGGCTCCCTGGTCCTCCTGAGGGGGCACTCAGCCCCTGCTGCCCCAGGCAGTGGCAGCCACGGGGTCTGAGGAAGAGCCAGGCAGGCCCTGGGCTGCCCCCAGCCCCACTCTACCTGTGTACTCTCTTCCCCACTCTGGCCTGTGGACTCCCTTCCCCAGTCTGGCCCATAGACTCCCTTCCCTACTCCGGCCCGTGGATTCCCTTCCCCACTCCAGTCCGTGCACTCCCAGCCCCACATCAGCCCATGGACGACCCTTCCCCACTCCGACCCGTGGACTCCCTTCCCATTCCGGCCCTTGCACTCCCTTCCCCACTCCAGCCCATGGACTCCCAGCCCCACTTTCCATATTGCTCTGGCTTTTTCTTGTGAAGGGCCAGATAGTAAATGTTTTAGGCTTTACAGGCCACACATAGTCTCTGCCACAATTCTTTGTTTGAATTCTTGTCTCTCACAACTCTTTAAAAATGCAAATACAGTACCCAGCTTGCACAGAGACAGACAGCAATGGGATTTGGCTCTAGAGCACGGCTTGCCAATCCCTGTTCTAGAATCTTAAAAACCTCCTTCTCTTATGTCGGAATCAGCCATGACCTAGTTGTCAGAGGGTCCTAAGCCTTGGCCCCTCTTTTCCACATTAGAATATTTTCCTTCCCAGAACCGTAGCATTTTCTTTGCCTCATACAATGATGGCTTTTTATTCAGAAGTGGCATAGTCCAGGGAGGTGCAGGAGAGGAATTTCAAAGGATAAGTAGAAAGCCCACCTCCTTCATGAAGTGATTTGGAGTCAGGCAGGCCTGAGTTCTAGTCCTGGCCCAGTCTCTCACTCGAGATGTGTCTCTCTGAGCCTCAGTTTTCTGGTAAGATGCAGCCGGAGACAGCAGGGCTGCTGTGAGCCCTAAGCAGTGTGTGCTGGCCCTCAGAACCTCCTGGGCTTCCATCCCTCCCCTCCCGCTCTCCTCCTGTCCCCCCTGACTCCCCTCTTCACTCTTGTTTAGGAAGCCCAGGATCCCAATGTCTGGGAACTTCCCTGCTCCACGTTGACAAGATGGAGCCCTAGGTCCCGCCCCTCCTCCATCTGGGGCAAAGTCGATTGGACCATGTGGCACTGGCTGGGCCCATCCTACCACTTAGCTTCCAAGACAGGGTGTTACTGTTGAAAAGTGCCCCCACCAAGAAGAGATATGTTCTAACTCTAACTGTACTGGGAGTTACAGTCCTAACTCCCAGTACTTCAGAATTCGACCTTGTTTGGAGATAGAGTTGTTACAGATGTAATTATTTAAGATGAGGTCACACTGGAGTAGGGTGGGTCTCTCTAATGCAATATGACTGGTATCCTTATAAAAAGGGGATATTTGGACACAGACACACACACGAGGGAACCCCACGTGGTCATGAAGGCAGAGATCAGGGTGACACGCCTACAAGCTAAGGAACGCCAAAGATTGGCAGCAAACAGCAGGAGCCAGGAGGGTGACCTGGAACAGGCACTGTCTCAGAAGCAGACATCCCTGCCCACAGTTTCATCCTGGACTTCCTTCCCCCAGAACTGTGAGACAAGAGACGCCTGCGTCCCCTAGTGTGTAGTGCTATGGCAGTCCTAGCCAACTCTATGCAAAGACTGTATCTTTCTCAAGGAAAGCAAGCCGTAAAAAGATGGCCTTGGGGTCCTGGCTGTCTGTCTGTGTTTGCCAAAATAGTGGAGTTTTCTGTGATCAGAGAGAATGAGGCTGATGCAATAGACAGACAGAAGGGATTGCCACAATGTGGGGGCATGGAGGGCCTTCATGTCTAGCCCTCCCTAGGCTTCGCCTCCACTCCAATCCAGGTAGAGCCCAGTGTTCATTTGTTGAGCTGAGCTGTGCAGCATGCAGCTGTGGGGTGAGTGGCTCTGGGCCCTGCTGGGGTCACTGTGGGAAGTGTAGTCCTCGATTCTAGTAGCAAGAGCCTGGGGCACAGAGGTGTGGGGAGGCAGGAGGTACTGGTTGGATGGGAGGAACCTGGGAACGCAAGTGGGTCCCTACGTGGGAGCCCTGAGCCCAAAGAACATGACTGGCCATAGGGAGTTCGCTCTGTGTTCTGATTCTCTGCTTCCCCAAGCAGTCAGTCAGGCTCTGTCAAGCATCATGGCCTTGACTTAGCTGTGCTTGGCCCATTCAAGGGAAACCACATGAGTGACATTTGCAAGGAAGGTGGCAATGGCTCCTCACCCCCCTCTATGTGTGGCCCTTGGTGATGTGCTGTGACTCTCCTGTCAAAGGGGGACCCATTTCCCCTCCCTTTGAATTTGAGACTTACATTTTGTGAGGTATTGGAACCCCGAGAGCACCCCCAGCCCCCATAAGGAAGGCCTCATGAGGATAAGTCCCTCTGAGTGACCGCTGGCCACCGAGTGAGGGAGTGACATAGCCTGAGACCAGGGCTCAGCAAGCTTTTGTGTAAAGAGCAAGATAATAGACATTTTAGGCTTTGTGGGGCCGCATGCAGTTTCTGTCTCACCTCATCAACTGCTGTTGCAGCATGAAGCAGCCACTGGCAACACATGACTGTATGAACCTGGCTGTGTGCCAATAAAACTTTATTTACACAAACCGATGGCAGGTAGGTTTGCAGTTTGCTGACTCCTGCTTAAGCCTCAGCTGAAGACATCCCTAGATGACTTTAGCCACGCAAGGTGCCCCAGCGTAAGGACTGTGGCTGAGCCCAGTCCAGATGGCCAGACTGTGGGAGTGACAGCCAAGAAAACGGTGGTTGTTTTAAGCCTAAGTTTCGGGTAGTTGATAAGTGGCAATAAGTAGCTCATAGAAGGCAGGTCTGTATATGGAACCAGGAGGGACAGCAAGGGAAGGTGAGGTTGAGCCATGCCAGGGACTGAGGATGGCAAGTGTGAAAAATGACCCTCTGCAGGAAGTCCAGGGCGAGTCAGTATTCCCAGACATGGCTTGGGATGGGGATATCAGGGCCAGGGCCCAGAAACACTAGGTTACAAGTTGAATCATGTCCCCCAAAATTTATATGTTGAAGCCCAAATCACCAGTGTCTCCAAATGTGACCTCATTTGAAGATAGGGTCACTGCAGATGTAATAGTTAAAATGTGGTCATCCTGGAGTCATCCTGGAGTAGGGTGGGCCCTTGTATGAGTCAGCTGAGGCTGAGTAACAGAACACCCCATATGAGTGGCTTAAACAACAGAGGTTCATTTCCCCACAGTTCCAGAGGCTGGAAGTTGGAGGTCAATGCCTCGGCAGGGTTGGATTCTCCTGTGCCATCTCGTTTGGATCCTTCTGCGGCCTGTCTCTCCCTGCCGTGTAGCAGGCTGCCTCTTTGCTGTGTCCCCACGTGGTCATTCCTCTGTGCACTTGCATCCCTGGGGTCTCTTTGTGTGTCCCAACCCCCTCTTCTTACAAGTACCCCAGTCAGGTTGGATTAAGGGCTACTTTGATGGCCTCATTTTCACTTTATAGCCTGTTTAAAGGCCTAATTCCAAATTCAGCTCCATTCTGAGGTTCTGGGGGTTAGAACTTAGACGTATGAATTTTGGGAGGCAGAACTCAACCCATAACATCCCTGAATCCCATGTGATGAGGATCCTCACAAAAGGGGAGCTGGGAGCTGCCATGCACAAGGAGAATGCCACGGGAACGTGAGTGGGAGGTCAGTAATGCTGAAGGGCTCCAACCACCAGCAGAAGCTAGGCGAGAGGGCCCAGGACAGACTGGCCCTTAGGGCCTTAGAGGGAACCTGCCTGTCCACACACACCTTGATTGAGGACTTGCAGCCTCCACAACTGTGAGAAAGCAAATGGCTGTTGTTGAAGCCCTCAGGCTGTTGTACTTCGTTGCAGCAGCCGTGGAAAACTCATAGATGCTGTAATTTAAATTTTAATTAGAGAGATGATACAGTATTTGGTGCCCTGAATGGATGAAGCAGGAGGATTCTTGTGTTAGATGGGAAAAGCACTTAGCGCATTGCTGGGTGCCAGGCAGGCCCGCTAAGGGAGAGCCAGAAATAAGAAAAGGGAAGGAAACTTACCAGTGAAATCCATTTATGAAAACATTGAAAACTCAGGTTCTGGCTGGGTGTGGTGGCTCATGCCTGTAGTCCCAGTGCTTTGGGAGGCCGAGGTGGGAGGATCGCTTGAGTCCAGGAGTTTGAGACCAGCTTGGGCAACATAGTGAAGCACCATGTCTACAAAAAAATACAAAAAAATTAACTGGGCATGGTGGTGTGCACCTATAGTCCCAACTACTCAGGAACCTGATGTGGGAGGATCCCTTGAGCCTGGGAGGTTGAGGCTACAGTGAGCCTTGCACCACTGCACTCCAGCGCGGGTGACAAAGCAAGACCCTGACTAAGAAAAACCAAAAGACTCAGGTAGCCACAGCATCTGCTGCACACTGGAGTCTGATGCCAGATTCTGCAAGAAGGGTGTTCAGGGGGCTATAGGACTGCAACCTGCCTGGTCGGCCAAATCAGCCAAGGATTGGAGAGTAACTTCCCATCCTACCAGGAAGGGCTGGAGCAGAGTGTGCATAAATGTGAATCCAACAAGGAAGCTCAACCTAGTGATTTACGATTGATAGCCAACTGGTCAGACCAGTGGCTTCCCCACCTCTGAGCCAGCTGATAGCAGCAGGGCTGGGGCAGGGCCCCTTCCTGGCCCGCACCCGATCTCTTAGGAAGCAGGAAGGAAGCTTGACAAACACTGGGCAGAGGACGGCTTGGGGAGTGAGGGGAGCTATGCAGTCGTGTCATTCTTGCCTTGTCCAGTGCCCTTGAACCTGATTGACCTCCCCAGAAGTTAGTGAAGGTTGGAGGATGTAAGTCCTGAGCCTGGGAAGGAAAGTGCCAGAGTAGAGGGGGTGTTTTCCATCTGAGGGGTAGCTTGTGAGTGAGCTGGCTCTGGGGGAACTGGGAGGAATTCACTCTGTAGCCAGGTGCCTAGACTAGGGCAGAGAAGCCCAGGCTGTCCCAGCTGAAGCCCAAGCCCCATTTCTACTTCCAGTTTGACTGATGGGAGATGATAGAAACCTGGAAGGGCTGCCGTGACCCTATGTGCAGAGGGTTCACCTGAGGTGAACACCTCCAGCCCCTTCCGGGATTGAACTTCTACCCGCTTCCAGACAGCAGAAGCTTTGCCTCCCTCCTGAAGGAGAGTAGGAGCTTGATTTCGGAAGAGGATAGAGGAGGAGAGAGTGCCCTGGGACTTCTCGGCCCAAAAATTCTTAGCCTGGGCTCTAGCTTCTGGAGTTTGGGGAGTTTCTTTTTGCCTATCTCTGGATGAGGATGAGATTCCAGAGCAGCTGTGATGGCTGGAAGTGGCCAACATGGGCCTTGAAGGACCTTGGAAGATGTTGGGCAGATGAGCTGCAGGGGCCCAGTGGTATAGGGAGAGTTGGGGTTTCAGGGAGATCCTCCCCAGCCCCAACCTGGGACCCCACACCGCCCTCACCCTGAGGATGCTGATGAAGGATGTGGATGTCCCTGGCAGAAATCAGCCTCTAGGATGGGCTGCAGTGGCAATGGATAAGTGGGAAGCCGAGCAGGTAAGAGAGAGCAGGATGGAGATCATTCAGGGACTAACCCACAGTGGGGCTTGAGAGTGTGTGGAAGACCCCTGTTATGGGCTACATTTGTCCCCCAAAATTCATGAGTTGAAGTCCTAAACTCCAATGCCCAAGAAAAGGACTGTATTTGGAGACAGGGTCTTGCAGAGATGATTAGGGTAAAATGAGGTCATTGGGGTGAGCCCTAATCCATTAAGACTTCTAAAAAAAGGGGATTAGGACACAGACATGCACAGATGGAAGACCATGTGAGGACACAAAGAGAAGGTGGCATCTACAAACCAGGGAGAGAGGCTACAGGAGAAACCAACCCTGCGGCACCTTGCTTTTGGACTTCCAGCCTCAAGAGCCATGAGGAAATAAGGTTCTATTGTTTACACCCCCATCTCTGATTTTGCTACGGTAGCCCAAGCAAACTAAGACTTCCTGCTCCGAGGACACTGTGAACTTAGTAGGGGCTCTTTGTAGGGGCGGTGGTGTTGCCATATTGTGCACGGGCCATCTGTGCTACCCAGTGCTGGGGTCACACTCATTCAGTAGTGGGAGTGAAACCTCCCTGACTTTCTAGCTGGAGCTGTAGCCTGCAGCCAGGCCTGGGCAAAAGGGCTGCCTGGAGCTTGGGCCCCAGGTCTCAGGAATGTGTATTTTACACTTTGGGTTTGCTATGGTTTAAATGTGAGCCTCCAAAATCCAGGTGTTGCCAATGTCCAGTATTAAGAGGTGAGGCCTTTACGAGGTGATTAGGCCAGGAAGGCTCCTGCTGGGAGGGGATCAGTGCCCCCATAAACGGGCTTGATGGAGGAGGTGGTGGCAGGCTTGCCCCTCTGCCTTCTGTAGTGTGAGGGCACAGCACGAAGCCCTCACCAGGCCAAATGCTGGTGCTTTGGCCTTCGCCTTCCAACCTGGGAGAAATGCATTTCTGTTCTTGATGAACTGCCCAGTCTGTGGTGTTCCATTTTAGCAGGACAGACGGCCTCAGGGTTACAGTCCCATACTGTGTTATTTACCATGTTGCTCAAATTGCTCCTGCCTTGGCCATTGGGCACTCTCTCCGTTGGCTCCTGGGCACCCTTATCACTGGAGTTTTGTTTTCTGAGCACTTCCTGACATTCTGGCACTACAAGAGGCACCAGGATCATCTCGCACATTATCTGCCCAGCCCCAGAACCAGCCACTTCCCTAAGGAGTCCATCTCCTTCTATTTGGGGAGCGGTGTTAGACACCAAGGTCAGGATGTGCAGTGCTCCTTGCTAGGGAGTGCCGTTTCTTCTAGGCCCTCTCAATTAATAAGGCACAGAAACACACATGTGCGCCGATTAATAAACGGCTCTGGGGACATTTCTGCATGTGACCGTCTGCACCTGTGGTAAGCTGAAACATGGGTTCCCACTGACGCCTCCAACTCGAATCTGTCACCACACGGGTCATCCTGGGCTCTGCCCCTTGCTTATCTGTGACTCTCACTGCAGCAGGGAGAAGCTTGCTCCCACTGGCTGCCACCCGTTTCCTTAATCAATCGCTCAGCTCCAGGATGCATGCATTGTGGTGTGAGCAGCGCTGAACTGGAGAAGTGGTTTCACTGGCCAGAGCACAGGGCTGTGTACAGTCCTTCCACTTTCCTCTCAGAGGCTCCATTCATGTCCAGAGTTACTCAGCTAACCCCATTTCCCCGTCCCTTCAGAGAGGTTCTTTCATGAATTGTTTTGTTCTAGATTCCTTATGTAAGCAGTTCATTGACTCCTGATGTCACGGTGTCCCTCAGGCCTACATCTTGCCTAGGCCAGTCAGTGGCACCCGTTACTGGCGTCTCACCTCGATGCCTGCTCTCCACACATTTGAGGAGGATGTGAGTCTTATGGTGCCACATTCTTTCTCTCTCTCCCCTTTCCACACGCCCCACCTGCCACCGCCCTCACCCTGGACCAGCGATCCCCTCTCCCTGATCACAACATCGGCTTGGCTTCCTTCTGGCCTCTTCCCTGGAACCCAGCCTCCCTGCTGAGCTGTCCCGCCGTGAGGCCAGCACTATCCCTCTCTGTCTGCACACTTCGCAGCATGTGAACGAAGTCCTCCTTCCGCCTGGAGAACCCATGGAGAGAGCGCAGCTGCCGTTTTGGGGGAAATGGTCCCAGAGCTTCCTCATCATGGGGCAGAAAGACTTCTTTCCACATAGGAGTCTCACTGCACTCCCCGGGAGAGAATCTTTAAACTGCTGCCCCAAAAATGCCCCCGTGAGGCCTTTGCGCTGAGCCCTAATCAAGCCATGACTTACACAGAGAACCAGGGCAGGCAGAATCGTGGAACGCCAGGGTCACACCTGAGGATTTCCCCTAGGCCCTGTGTCAGCCCCTCCTCTGGAATGAGGTGCTCGTCCCCCTGGCGGCTGGCTGGGCAGGGGGCAGCCTTTGGGGAATTTCTTTGGCTGAAGAGAACTGGCTCACACAAGGCCACATGTCCTTCCGGTGACTGATGGACATCAGGGAGAGCCAGCCCTGCCTCCCTATCTTGGGTCAATTCTGCAAGGCCGCCAGCTTTCCAGCTCCCTGGGGGGTGGCTGAGGCCTGCATCAGGGTTGTGCTGGACTGAACGAGTCCCTCCACCAATATTCACTTCCTGCCTGCCCTCCACCAGTGTGGGTCGCCAGGGCAGCATGCTTCCTGCATGCCCCTGTCCATCTCAGAGTCTGCTTCAGGGAGACCAATACCCTGCTTAGAGCAACGAGCTGGCCAGGTAGGTGCCCCCATCCCAGCCAGGCCATGGCGCTCCTCCCCGCATGGTAAGGACCCAGCTTGGTAACTGGGACGCTGGCTCTCTGCCCAGCCCCCACCCAGATGCAGCCTGTGCTCCACACGGGGCTGCTGCGGCTGGAGACATGGAGTCCAGACAAGGGGGGCTAAGGAGGTTCTCACCAGAGTCTAGAATTCAGGTGGTCTCAAGGGAACTAAGTGAGGAGAGCTGGCAGCAGGAAAGGAAATCACTGGGCCTGGGGGCTCTGGCCAGCTGGGGACGCACAGCCCAGGCCAAGGGGATGGCTCCCCCTTAGCCAGCAGATAGTCACCATGCAGCAGAGGCCCAACATGACCTGTTCTGGTTCTTAAAGACCAGCTAGAAATCCTGACCTTTATGTGAAATATCCTGGTCTTTAACGCTGATTCCACTTCTCAAACACAAGCAAAGAAACAAATAAAACCCAAGTATGGCTGAGGCTCCCACACAGCAGTGAGAGGAGAGGGGAGGTGCTGTAGCCCCAGCTGCGTCCAGGGTCATTGGCACCCTCTTTTAGACCACTATCTAGCAATTCCCCTTAGGACCTTGCCCATAGCCACCATCCCACTCATTTCTCTCCTTTGTTCACGGACACATGTCCTGTTGCACAGTCTTTGTCCTCTCCTGTGGTCCAGTTCTTCTTTGATCCCCTGAGCCCCCAGTCTGCCTCCTAGAGGGAGTCCCTGTGAGCCTGCTGGATGGTGGCCCATGTTCAGGCCCCGTGCTGGAGGCTGGGCAGGGCTGATGGTGCCACGCTGGGCATGGAAGAGCCTGGTGACCCGGGAAGGGTGCTGGGTGG